CAAAATTTTACCCGTCCTCTTTAGACTGCCTGTCATGACAGCTTCAACACTGGTGAAAGCTGTAATTTTAGTATTAAGGCATTCAATATTAAGCCCACAGTAATAAAAATACCTTTTCAAATTGCAAGTCAACAAAAAAAAAAGAAGACAGATGCGTTCTTTGACTGAGTATCTCCACATGCATTAATAGAATATTCTGTGTACTATGAAACTTCATCCTAGCTTATGCTGCAATAACTTTCCTATGTCAACGTGTCCTTAACAGTATCACAGGCATCATCATTATAAATAAAATGAAGAATTTAATATGACCATTTTTATGCAGTCAGTGGAAAGGCTTATTAGAGATTCCCTAATTACCTAGAAGCCTCACAGCTGCTTTCTGCCCGCACGTCCCCTCCTTGGCCCTTAGGACCACACATTTAAGTATAACGCTATATCAAGGTCAAACTAGTCTGCCTCTTAATCTTTCATTCTCCCTCAACAAGGCCTCCTTGGTATTTCATTTCCAGGGTCCATTAATTTCATATGAAAATCACAGTTGGCAAGACTAAAAATATATCTTATAACTCAGAGCAATAGCTGACTGCTTTCACGATCTCTGCAAATCTTTTTGATAACATTCTCAGACAGAAAATCAAAGAAAAGAACAAGCACCCTTAAAAATGCTGCTTGAACACAAAGTAAATTAATCTCTACTGTAACTTTAGTTACTTAACTATTAATGACACAGTGACCAGTACTGGACAGCAATTTCAGTCTATTTAATAAGTGTAAATCAAAAACCTTGCTCACAATTAAGAACTCAAACAGAAAAGGACATAAAGAGGAGGAATGCCTTTCAGCCACATCTCTTTGCCAGCCTGATGTGCTGCACGACCATACAAATACCTGTGCCAGCACAGAGGAACATATACCATGGCACAGGAAGGAGAAGCCACCAAGGAAGCAGGCTCACTTCTTTCAGCAGCAGTTCTCACTTCAAAGTGCTGATTTAACTATGCTGTGTTCTTATGCTATGACTCACTGTCATGTCTTCTAGAGGATATTACTTTAAACAACAATAAAAAATTCAAAAAACTCCCAACACCACCACAATTTGTAATTTCAACCAGAAATACTTACTTTCTTCCCTCAGTTGCAAAAAGCCCGTCAGGTGAGATGGTCTACTGTTCTCCCACCTTCTCCAGCTGCAGGCCTACTCCATGACTTTAAATACTAACATAAGCAATTCAATGTCTTTGGAGTCACAACCCCACTCCTGATGGGTCATTACTAGTGATCATACACACTTCTTTGGAACTGCCATAGTCTGAATGCAGTCTCTGGAACTTCAGTCTCTTATTTTTAAAACAGTGCAGGCTAAAGGGTCAATAGGCAACACTAGAAAGTGTAAATATTTGAGTAGATACTTAGTTAATTCCTCAACATACATTAGTTTAGTCCTATGACCAACTCAGCAACTTCTACAAGAGCAGTTAAATACGCAACAAGCAGCAAAACAAAATTCTCTGAAGGGCTGATGATTATACTGTTGCAAGAGATAAAATGATATTTATTCTCAAAGTGTTCACTGGGCAATCTTCTGTAACACTTAAACTGATCAGACAATATTACCCTTGTCCTCTTAACTCTAACAATGTAATAAGATAGACAGCAGCATTAATATCAGTGTTAAAGAATGTTGCATCACCACTCTCTGGATTTTGAGCCAAAGTGTGCTGAACTTGACAAATACATCATTTTTTAAAAAATACTATTATTATTATTTTGGAAAGCTGAAAAAATCTCCCAGCAACTATCACTAAATACATTTTTATATCAATTACTGTAATCTTGTCCATTTATGCTTCTCTTTTCCCACACATAAAGGATTTTCCTTTTTATTAAAAACAAAAAACCTGTGCATATTTTAGTCTTCCCCCTCCCCAAATTTAACTTTCCTATCAGATAGTATTACAAGCTCAGATTTTACTTCACCATTATGGTTTAACAGTAAATACTTACTGCAGTAACACTAAACCTAGCTTAATACAAACACAGCACAAATTATTCACAGAATAAAGTTAAAATCTCCTCCCCCCTCAAATATGGTAATATACATGGATTAATTTATGTTGTATTCACTAGCAGCTTTTTCAAACTCACAAGTCTCGCTTTGGGTGCCTTTTGAATGACTGTTTCAGGTCTTCAGCTGCTTCTGCATTAGACATTAAAAACTCCAAGCCCCCATTATCAGGATTTGGTACAGCAAAATTGTGTTTGCTACGGGGAAACATCAATAACTCCTGAAAGTAAGAGCTGGATCCAATTAAGTTTGAGAAGATGTTTAGTTGATAAGATGATGCTCAACTGATTCTGTTTAACTGGTAAGGTTCCTCACCACACTAGAGCTCTAATGCTATAGCATTTTATCCATGTCTGTATTGAGCACACACCTTTCTGTCACAGGCATTACAGTCTAAGCACAAGCACACTGTTAAGCATCCTGTAAAGACACTAAGCAACATCTGCACTATGAACAGCATCCACATGTATAGAAGACCCCTTTCTGAAACACAATCTTCTGTCCCTGGCATGAGTAGGCTACGTTGCCACCCTGTGCCAGATCTCATGACATGGTATTTACATTAATTTCTTTGTCTGTGTGTCATATTTCAATAGAGAATATTTCCATTTCAACAGTTCTCCAGAAGCACAGGAACTTATCGTGGCAAGGTTTTGTACCACCATCTTCTTCTGCCTTCTTCAAAGCAGAGAGCCAACCTTTCTAAGCCACTTGCCCACGTATTTAGGTGACTTTGTAGAAGATGCTGGAGTATCACTGGCTCAATACATGTTAACATTGCATCAGTCATGAGGACTACAGAGGATTTCTGAAATCAAGTGAAAGGGTCACAGTACTGTCAAGCTATTAAAAAGATTAGATCTCAGCACAAAAGTGTAATAACCCACTTTGTCAAATCCCATTTACTGATTGCTGTATTGTTTCCTGCTTATGCCTGAAGAGGGATATAAAAAGATTTCAAAGAAGTTGTTAAATATTTAGGTTAAAAAATCTGACTGGTCTGGAAGAAAGTTGAAAAGCCATAATTCAAGTAATTCCTAATTTTAGTAGCAAGTGAAAACTTTCATCAAGAAACCATATACTGCCTGGAAATGTAAAATACAACAGCTAGCAGAGAAAGAAATATATCAAGGTGGGTTCTGTGTTCACCTTTTTGGAGTTTTTTGACTATCAACTTCTTGGATAAGTGACTGAAAAACCACAGGCCCTGTAAACCTACTCAAACTATCCAATAACAAAGCACTTCTCTGGATTGTGGCAGCTCTATACATGACATCATTTGTTTACAGAAGGGAAACTCTTGCCAATTTTAAATAAAACAGGATTCAGTCTGTTGAAAACAGACAGATGTCTACAAGAGTGGCTACTCCTGTGTCTCCACACTAATTTGTAGTGCTATACTAGCAGAAGGGTAGCTTCACACAGCTTACAGGTTCCTGCTAGAACTAGACAGACAAAAATGAGACTGCAGTACGAGATAATCTCATCAGCTGGGACCGCTTCCTAAAAGGCAACGTTACAAGCTTCAAACTGCATCACATTAAGAGGTATGTTTTATTTCAAGTGATTTAACAGGAAATCTCATCACTTCCAGTGCAGTTAAATACCAGCTCACCTACTGTATCTATTTTCAAGATCAGTTTGTGTGCAGGTTTTTCACCATTCTAATGTTTTGCCACATGCCTGAGTAACTGTTGACTTTGCTGAAGAGCTGTCATAGCAATCACACACCCAGAATCCTCGAGAAAGCCCAGCAAGGAACTTGGCCAATACATGCCAGTTTGTTGAGTAGTTCTTTGAAAAGGTGAATACATCCAAAAAGCAAACAGTAATGTTATTTTTAAAAGAAGCTTATTAGCAAATTCTTTTTATTTTGAACTCATAAATCACAGTGTGATGACTCCTATTTTTTCCCCAAGATAAATTTAAGAAGTCTTAACATTCTGATCCAAGATTTCTTTATTAAAAGAATAATAATCTGTTAAATACCACCTACGAGCAAAGAAATACTTCTAATAGAAGCTAACATCAGAGATGTACCTCCTCAAAGGTTTATGTTTGTCCAAAGCAGAGATGGGTGTATTTTACAGAAGAAAAGCCTCATCCAAATTTGGAGGAGGAAGAGAAACTCTGAAAGAATTTTACTGTCCATTTTTATGGAAATTAGTGTCTAGACAAAGGGGAAGAATCAAGTGATGGAGAAGCAGGCAATTCTCCTTGTCCCTGCAACCATAAAACTTTTTTCCTGGTAACTGGCAAGTTGGAGTGCAGTACATGGATATCTCTAGACTGGGCATAGCATGTACCTCTCCTTGTACACTTCTACTGGGTAAGACACGACGGGAAGATGAAATAATAGGGCAAGAGATACTTGACAGACAGAAGAGACGAAATGCACAAAACCAGAATAAATTTCTGCAGCTCATAAAATAAGTTTGCTCAAGACACTTCTGAAAGAGTTCTACTTTAAATCAGTACTGATTGTGATTCAACATATTCATGTAGTTATCTGCCTTTCTTGTACAGAAAACCTGAGAGATGCTTCCTGATTTACAGCTATTAACTATTTCACATTAAGAACTGATAAATAACCATCCCTTCAAAGCTCTGTAATTGATGCTGGATAAACCCAGAAACTACAAGCTAAAAACAAACTGAGTAATAGAAGAGAGGTAATATCAGATTCTCAGCCATGCAAGTTGAGAGAAAAGATATTTGGCGTCTCCGGAGCAGAGTGCAATGTTAGCAAGGGAAGAGCTGATGAGGTTGTTAGCCCTCAGGGATCAGAGATCCCTACACTAATGTGGCCCAACTTACCTTAGATGACAACAACACAAGGAAAGCAGATATTTCTAATTGCTGCAAACAGTTTGCAACAGACTGGACTGTACAGACTAAGTAATAAAGCAGCCAGGGACTTCACAGAGCTTACCTGTTTCTGTGCTGATGTTCCCATATGCACCTGGCAAAACTTGACTGCCTGTTCAAGTGCTGTTTCTTCATCCACCTGAACACAGAATCACAACTAATGAAGTTGTAGTTACTTAGCTCATCTATAAATCTAATCAAATTGAGATGTAATGGGGATGTAGAGCACTGGAGTAAGGGGGAGAAGCAGCACTTTATGGCAGAACAGTGATCCTGCGTTATTCGGGAGCATATATTCAAAGACACACAACTCTCTCAATTCAAATTAACATTTAGCATGAACAAACCCCACATAGCTGGTATTACAGCTCTTAACTGATTTCAGAAATTTAGCTCCAAAATATGGAGGGTCCCACTTTCCCCCCTCGCCTCATCTAGCTGTGGTATTGTCAAGAGAGTGGTTCTTTGGGAGACATTTATCTCCCCAGCTTTTGCGCAGATATAGGGCCACTGTTATACTGCTTGTTTTGGCAATTATTGTTATTCTGTAATCATGTTTGAGGCCACAAAGAGAAATTACAATTAATGATAAAATACTTTACCTGTTTAATCAGCATGTATGTTTCAGACATGATCTTCTCAATTTTACCCAGGTCATAGGCCATAACTTTCTGACCTTGCTGCCATACTCGATAAGCATCGAGCAGAAGTGTTTTCCCAGATTCCACATCCTCAAGTAATTTCCTCTTCCTGCCTGACCTCTGCACAGGTTCCTCTGTAGGTACTGCCTGAACTATTCCTTTAGCTGCCTGCTGCTGATGTTTTGAGCTGATACTTAGCTCTTCCAAAGAAAGTTCTGGAGTCCGGCTCTCTGGAGCTCTCTCCTTTGAGTTCCTGCCAGACTGAAGACGGTCTGGCTCACTGCGTTTACATGAAGAATCAATTTTTTCAGGGTCATTGGAATATCCATCAAGATCCATAGGCTCAACTGAACCAGGCCCTGGGAGCTCTTTAATTTCCTTGTCATTCTTGTCTTCTTGTTCCAATATGTCCATAGCATTGGGAATTTGTCCCTGGGTCACCTCCTTTACTCCATTTTCAGTACCATGTACTACTCCATCTGATAAAACTGGCTTTTTGGGAAGGCCATCTTTCCCTTCTTCAGCACTAGTTTTATTAGAGACGTCTGTTGTCATCCTTCCTGAAGCAAGGTTAGAAGACTTGGAACTCTGATCTTCTGAAACCTTAATAAAAGAAGTAATTCTTCTGTGTTATTATTGAAACCAGAAAGCATTTGAGCACAGCTATGAATACTGTGAATACTGACAATGAGTACCTCTACATTATTGCCTCTTGCTGAAGAAAATGTATTTATCCTATGTTCATTCTTCTTTGTTCCTGAATATTAATTAATCCAAGCCACAAGTCTTACAATTAAAGTATTTTAATCAGTGAAAGCACCACAAAGAAATCAACAGCACAGGTTAAACCAAAGCTGCAATGTTTTTATTTCCCCCCACTACTTCAGTCTATACTATGGGATCCAACTAAATGAAATCCAAGGTTTCAATAGCACAAAATTTCCTTTTAACATACTGAAATCAAAACTGAACCTGTTTCTTTTGGCAGCTGCAGATCAACCTCAAATTTACGAACCTTCCCTTAAGATTCCCTTAAGAATCTTCCTCTTACATAACTTTCTTCTTGTTAGCAGATTAAGAAGTATGGTAAACTCAGCTATAGTATTTTAATTTTTATACCTTTACTTTGGTGATGGTTCAAAGGTAGAAAGCCTCAGTATATCACCTCTTCTTTCAAAAACTGCTAACGATACAATTGTTCCATCCAGATTTATGAACAAACTATTTCATACACACAGTTCCAGTGTTCTTAAGGATGTTTTAACTTAACTTGTTAAACCCACACTCTGTTAACTTGGGAAACCCTTATGAACAAGTTCTTCCTTGAAAGTGTTTATCAAATAAACTTTCCATTTCCAGTTATCTTAACCTGGAAACTGATTAGTCTCTATATGACATTTTAAAATAAAATCTAAAATACAACTAAATGTAATAACAGGTGTGTTGTTGTCAAGGACTAGCAGTTATAAATGGCTAGGCACGTAATATCTAGTCATCTGGTTTTGTTTTGCAAGAGGAATCTTGGTTCATTTTAAAAGGAAATTTCCAATGGACCCCACCTGAAAAGGGACCTGTTCTTATACTCCATGTAACTTCTGTAATTTTAAATTTAAGTGACAGTCAAACCAAACTTATTGCAACCTATTCTCAACAACTCTATTTGTTACTGGGTTTCAAAACCAAAAAACAGTAATGCTGGAAGAAAGTTTTCTGTGTAGTTGCATATAAAGAAAAGGCATTAGAAATAAGTGGTGATAATAATGAATCCCTTCAGCCTCAGGAGATCTAAGGAATGAGGAAACCAAATCTAGAAAAATCTAATTACTAAATGAATGACCATTAAACACGCCGCTGCCTTACCTGCGTCAGATCGTTGAGAGTGTCCTCCAGCACTTTCACCGTAAGCACAAAGGCCTGTTGGGCCAGAACTTGGCGATCTGCATCACGCAAGTACTTCCTGTGCCACAGTAAGATCACAGAAATTAAACTAACTGCCAAAAGATTATAGGACTTCAAAAGCAAGAACCAGGACATTTAAAAAAAAAACCCAACCAAACCCCCAAAATTTTAAAACAAGTTAGAAGAAAGCAAACAAAACATATACAGTTGCATATTGAAATATAACACTTTAGCTATGTTTCCTTCTACTTTTCCCCTCCCCACAACCATCAAAGATGACATGGGTGAAGCGAGATAGCACTATCTACAAACAGAGGGGAAAAAACCAAACCAAAACAAAAAGCCCCAAACAAACAAAACCCCAAACCCAGAGCAAAACAGACAACCAGAATGACAGTCTTCTTATATCAAGTCTTCTGTGCCCCTCAAATATGAGCTTTTTATTCAAACCTTTTCTTGAAAAAACATATTAGTCACACAAAGCTATCTTGAACTGTCAGGTGATTTCATGTTCTGGAGAAACCATGCACGTGAGATTAAGGACATCAGCAAATCCTTTCTTTCTCTTTGGTCACATCAGTCGCCTTTGAATGTAGGCTTTTTAGAGCTAAAACACTGGTGTGATAATACCTTTTTCCCTATTTAGTATTATAAAAAAATATTCATGTATGTGTAGAACTTACTCTATAGCCTCATTTAATTTACTACAGCTTTGTAACTTCAGTGTATTCTGACACAATGTTTTAGTCCACTTTCAAGGAAAACATTTCCAGCCACGAAGCCCACCTAACTGAGTTTGACAGAAAACTGAATTTCTATTTCATAATTAGCTGATTTAAATGAGAGGGCTAAAAATCAAGTAAATAACTTTGAAGGGTACCATTTCAGTCAAAAAGACATTTTTAATACACATATTTTCTCTCTACAGTATTATATTAAATTGGTAATTTTATGGTTTGGTTTTCAGACAAAAGACACAAAAATTTGACTCCTCATTAGCTCAGTAATAACTAAAGGCTAAAAACACCTTCTTTTTAAAAATAGGATTGTTACAGGCATGTACCAAACACACCCAGAATATTTGCATTTATAAGTTCCTGTAATGATTGCAGTTTACCATGGCCAGCACTGGCTGATACCATATGTCAAGTTACTTGTTTGTTAAATTCAGTCTAGACTTACAAATAACACAGTATTTTTAGTACAACTGTGGGCTTGCTTAGGACAGAATCTAAACCTTCTATGGTCCAGTACTTCTGATATACTAAAAGTCAAATTATTTTTGGCTTCAAGTTTGCTGAACGTGTGGTGACATATTCCCAGACATACTATGATCTGTGCAAATTCACATGCACTCACACTCAAAAACACATGAAGAAATCTTTAATGCCTCCAGCTTATTGCCATCAATCATTCAGGTCAATTTCTTAAGCATTTGCCAGTGACTAATTTCAGTATTTCCCACTTGGCAAACTGCTACAATTTTACCTCAGTTGCTTCAGTGTTTTCCTTAGATGTTTATTTTTGGTCTTCACACTGGTATGAATCTGTATATAGCTCACGTTAAATGGCTTCTTTTTTCTTAAATAAGGTTAATGCAATTAAAATTAGATCACCCCTGAACAGGATAAGCTTTTTAAATAGCATCAACTGCCAAGAGGCACATAACCATTGTTCAGCCTGTCAAGGATTACAGGAAGGCAGGATGCCTGAGCCGTGACCTCCCTCACTGGACACAGCTCTTACGCAAGAGGCCAGCAGAGAGGTGCAGAAGTCACCATGCTCTGTTCCACCAGTGAACCCCTCCACAGGACACAAAACCTCTGCAAATCTGTTAAGGCAGCTCTATGGCTGCTCTGACTTTCACGAGAAATGCAAAGAAATTCTAGACTCTATTATGGAACTGTAATCCTGAGAAAAAATTAATGACCATCCCACTACATTCCCAAGGAAATCTGTCTAAAGACTTTTTGCCTAAACTAAGAACCTATTCAAATGAAATTCTTACACAGTGAACAAAATCTATTTAAAGCTTTACAAAGTAATGGATTAAAATAAATATATCATACTTTCCCTGATCAGGGGTCCTCTGGAGCATAGAGGAGACTTTCAGCAAGGTGTTGTAGTCCTTTAGTTGTGACAGCACATTTAGCAGTAAGACAATAGAGCGGT